GGCTCAAAACTCGAGAAGGATGAGAGCTATTGCAAAAGCAAGATGGCCATCTTGTAGAGCTTGCCTTGCTCTATCGAATGGTGCTTTGCAATATATCTAGAAATGAAGAGTGTATGACTTATTGCGGTTGAAAGTCAAAACGGGCATTAATTTCCGGACAACCTAATACAAACTTTGAGAACATTGTGGAACGAATTTCAGTACGTTTTTCAGAGTTCTTTTATTTGACATGATTTTTTGAAAATTTGATGGAAATCTGACCGCTCCAATTTCCTGCAAACTTTCATTGCCAAAATTATTAGATTGTCTTCAAAGTTATTTAAATTTGAGCTCAAGCTCTACAGAAAGACCACTAAGGATCCAAATGAGCCGTAATTCAGGCAAAATTTGCAGCCAAAAATCAAAATTTTTCAGCTACCTTAAAAATCGGATCGCTCAAAAATATTCCTACGGACTTCCAACTTGATCTGTATATAATAGACATATAGTAGTGCTCAAAAAATATTTGGTGAATTTTTCTCCGGGGCTCAAATTTGAGAAACAAAGATGGTCCGAAAATGCCAAAATGCCAATTTTTTCCGGTTTTTCATGTGAAACTTGATATTTCTCGGATAAGAGCACCTAAAGGGGCAAAGTTTTGAGATTATACCTAGTAAGGCTTGTATAGACAATGATATATGTGGAGGGGCTGGGGGCGGAGTTTGCCACTTTTCGACTCTTTTTTCTCGCTTTAACCCAGTCAAAGCATTTGGGCACTACTATGTGTGCTTACCGTATAATGACCAAGTTCCTTAAGGTTCTTCTTCGCAAAAAGCCAATTTTCGGGTGGCAAAATTTTCCGATTTCGGCTTCAAATTTTACATGGAAACTTAGGCGCAAACTTGTTGGTCATAGAGCTTGAGCTGCTCTATCAAAGTTACCCTAAATCTACTAGGAAAGCAAAAACAGTTTTAATTACCTAAAAAAGGAGTTTACTTTTGGAACAATCCAATAGTTCGCTCAAACAGTGTTCACCATCCAATTCCTTGATTGACTTTCTAAACTTCTACATAAGTTTACCTGTAACGTGTCTATGAAAGATTATTTTTTAGCCAACCGATACTTCAGTGTATTCCCAACGAACCATTTCCTCTGATTTTGCACATATTTTCGCATAAATTCGCGGAATTTAGAGAAGTTTACCACCCACGATCACGTGTTCTCTGAGTATTTTATAGGGCTCAAGTGTTTCCTATGCATCACGAATGCAGTGGTTGTGCAAAATGAGCGCAAATCGTTTTCCGGTTGGCCAGAATGCTCCGAATGATATTTCTTCAGCAGTTCACATGCATTTACGACACAGTAGAAGAGAGAAGCGGATGGGCGAAGCAAAAACAACAACTGTGCATGACTTTGGACAGCAGCAATTCGCTGCGACTTTTATTCTCCAAAAATAAAAGGATTAGGCGTTCAGATACAAAAGCAACGGAAACAACCCATTGTAACCTAGAGTGAATCAGCGATGGATGGAACACCATAGAATGCCATGACATTTTGACTATAACGGAGAGTTTCTATGAAGCTACTGTAGTCATGTGCGATGAGTATTGTCACAATGATTCAGTTCCAGCAACCCTTGTGTGTCACTGATGCAGAATCGGCGTTCGCTCTTACATTCCGATCAGTTTGATACTCATCATCTACATCGAATCTTCATCAGAACAATACACTTTCGTGGTTAATGAGTGCCACTGCGATGACAACAGCATCTGCGCGGAAATAAATGCTATCTATGAATGCTGACAGCTTGAATGCGATTGGAACGTAAAAAATGGCCTGGGGGGCCTAGTTCCTTTGTTTACTCGCAATTTATCGCCGTAATAACACTGGATTAAGGTCATATAAACTAAGTATGCATGTTCAAACAAGTACCTCAACTCTATTTGAATATTGATAAATAAAATGGGAGCAAAGAACAAGTACAAGCAGGCTAAGATTACGTCATGACGTTTCTGAACACATCACTCAAAAACTGGATGATGGGTATGGTGAAGCCAACCATGTGCTATAATAAGTATGTGCAACTGCACACTTCTTGAATGTTTGGATCGCCATTACGATACCTATTTTTGCGCCAGTTTGCCAGAGAATTTGAGCACATTAACTACCTGAATTCCAAAGAAGTATGTTCACTCTCTAGTAATGTACTGAGACTGACCGCTCTATAACATCTTATATATAAAGCTGAATGTCTGTTCGTCTGTCTGTCTGTCTGTCTGTATGTATGTATGTCTGTACGTATGTTCCGAATAGAAAATTCCATTTCTGAACCGATCCGGACCAAACTTGGCACACATACACTACGGGCCCCGGCGGGTGTCATAGGCTACTTTTCGTCATCGATCGATATCGATTTTATCGATTTTTATCGTTTTTTTTGCTGAGTTCACCTACGGGGCTGGGAGTTGGCACAGGGGGGTAATCGAGCATGGGGATTCCGAATACAATATTGGTTTTCAGGATTATCGATTACTTTTATCAATTTTATCGATTTTTTTGCAAAGTTTGAGCTAGGGGGCTGGGAGTTGGCACAGGGGGGTAATCGAGCATGCTGATCATCCCCGCAGGTCAAACTTTACAAAAAAATCGATAAAATCGATAAAAGTAATGGACGATCCTGAAAACTAATATTGTGTTCGTAATCAGCATGCTCGATTACCCCCCTATGCAAAATCCCAACCTCGCATGTCAAAATTTACAAAAAATCGATAAAATCAATAAAAGTAATCGATAATTCTGAAAACTAATATTGTTTTCGGAATCCCCATGCTCACTTCCCCCCCCCCCCCCCCTGTGCCAACTCCTAGCCCTGTAGGTGAACTCTGCAAAAAATCGATAAAAATCGGTAAAATCGACATCGATCGATAACGAAAAGTGGACTGTGACACCCGCCGGGGCCCGAAGTGTATGTGTGCCAAGTTTGGTCCGGATACGGCGGAGCCGGGTAAGCCAGCTAGTATCCTTTAAGTCCCTTTGATTCAACTGGCTTGGCGGCTGGAAGGCAGGACTTCGTGACTAACTGAGGCTAGGTAATGATCAGAGAGTACGCGCCGGGAGAGACGCAGACTGCGTAGCGGGTGCGAGTGGCCTTAACTAGGTCACAGAGCCCCGCCTTCAACCCGCCAAGCCAGTTGAATCAAAGGTTATATACAGGGTGCCCCAAAAAATGTGCACACTGTTTGATTGTAAATAACCCTCTTGTAGTGAAGTGTTTCGAGAAGCTTTAGGTACCATTATATAGAGCGAGGTTTAACTTAGATTTACAGTGTAGAACTAATCGCCGATCGCTCATTCTTACTGTAGGAGTACGGTAAAAACTTCAAACATAGTGGTGTCATTGTGAAAAAAGCGGCTGTTTCAAAAATTTTCAAAAAAATGTGGAAATTTGTGCAATAAGGTTTTTGATCCTGAGTTCAATACCCAACTCTTTACAAAGTTGAAAAGCTTTCTAAACGGTGTAACCACACTTTTATGAACACTCAAAAAACGTCTGCTACTGCTTACCTCGCATAATTTTTTAATGAAGCATTACGAAGAGTTGCGAACTTTGCATTTAAAATCAGCAACTCTAGTTAACCCAGTGTGAGAGTTTTCAGGTTGTTCTGATTTCTTTTTGGAACAAAATATGGCCTTTCATGGCTCAAAACCCTCTTCAAAGTTTCTACCGTACAGTAAGAATGAGAGATCGGCGATTAGTTCTACACTGTAAATCTAAGTTGAACCTCGCTCTATAAAATGGTACCTAAAGCTTCTCGAAACACTTCACCACAAAAGAGTTATTTACAATCAAACAGTGTGCACATGGGAAATCCTGTATAGCGCGATGATCATAAGACGAATTTGGCATTTTGCCAGTGCGTCAAATTACACAATACGCAGACATCAAACTCAGGTGCGCAAGACATTTTTGCAAGATGATGTTTTATTATTTAATATGCCCTTGAATTTGCACATCTTTTGTCAAAACCTAAACGGGTAGTGTTTATTGGACGACTGCTTTTTTTAAAGGCACTGAACAATTCTGGAAGGACCTGAGAGATGTAGTTTAGTTCACAAGACAAGTCTCCGATTTGTATTTGAAATTTGAGAAAATCTCCATCCTAAAATAATGTGACTGTCTCTGACTCGAATGGTTGAGCTCAACATGAAACCATAAGTTTGAAAAATTGCTATCAGCCTTTAGAATTAGGTAGGAAGATTAGGATGACTGACTCAAAATAATTACTTGGAGTAAGTAATAAATTTGTGGTAACTGAAACTGTGACACATGAGTGAACAAGTACCAAGGAACATAAATTATAGGTTGTTACATAAATTTTGTTACACTCGACTGAAAAAATCCTCATAAATTTTAGATGATTCTTCCTCACCTCCAAGCTGTCCAAAACGTTGCAAAGTTTTATATGTACATGTCACACATAAAAAACCAAATTTTCGAATTTTTTGAAAATTTGCTAAGACTTCCAAGCCCTTAGTATCACCAACAGTGCTCCTGAAAGTCCGAGAAAAATCTAAAAAGATGAAAAAGAAGAATAAGAGAATTTTTAGAAGATAAAAAAAATGGAGTTTGGAGTACCTTTATAGGGCTGCCTTTATATTCGCTGTAGGTCATGTGGTGAGGACATAGATGGTGCCAGCGGATAGCCCTTTACTCCTTCCCCATATATGCCAAAAATGAGATCTTGCCGAATTTTTTTGTTTTTCAGAAGAAGACAAAGAAAGTGCAACTAAACTTATGTAACGACCTAATTTGATTCAAACGTTTTTGATTTTCAAAAATTCCACACAGGCTTCGATTATATTGAAGATGACACAGAAACTCGCAACACTCCTTCAAGGGCAGAAACGAGACGGAGTCTACGAAGCATAATCATAATAAACGTAGACGATAACATTATTGTTATGCTTTACTCATTTATCGCGGCACATCTAAAGAAACAGTAAAAATAGGTAAAACTCACTTTGCCAGGAATAAACACTACAGCTGGCGGATCCTCCCGCGTAGAGGGGCCGTTGAAGCACGGCGATCCGCTGCAACCACTTCGTATATGTACGGCTCGAAGAAAATGCGAAAAAAACGTACGAGGGAGTTTCCGGCTGGTCGCCCATCGAAATGAGCTGCATCTGGCTCTCGTTCGTCCGCAAATGCACGTAGTCCGGTGGATCGCCGAAGGGCATCTAAAAGAGTCATGATTGGCTCGGATGTCCAACCCTCTTTCTCACCGGATATGCGATCGCTTAATCGCCGCGACTCAAAATTAGAGACGACGTTTGCGTGCAGGTTATGATCAAGTGTTAAGTATGTACGACACGAGGGGGATGAAAAAATGTGTAGATGGCTCATTTAGTGACGTCCAAAGCATTGGCTTATTGCCCTCGTGAAGCTTTGGACTCAAAGTGCAACCATTTAAGGTTTTAGAGCCTCTATCAGCATAGCCTGCGGCTATTCAACAAAAACTCAGACTTGAACGTCGTTGATTGAGAGATTCTATATTTCATTTTCGCGCTCTGTTAGATGTCGAAAGGAATTACGTTTAGAGGCGAGTAATTTACGAACTCACTTTTGATACTGCTTTTTCTTTGTATAAGACTGGTCATCATACTAGCTTAACAACTTGTCTTTGCGTACAAAACAATATGGAGATATCAGTGGCGGTCCCAAGATTTCCGTCCGGGGGGGGGGATTATTCTCAAATGAAGGTGCGTGGCGCTCGCCACGCACTCCGAAAAATTTCTTGGGGCATTTCTCAAATTTTTAGTGTCCATAACCCCTAAAATCTAAAGAAAGGGGGCGTGTTGCAGCGGCACCCCCAAAAAAAGTTTTTACAAGGCTAATTTGAATTTTAAAAAAAATTTAAAACAATTGCTTCAATTTACAAGAATAAACAAGTCACTTACTTCAACACTTTTATAAGCCACTTTTTCAATAACTTTCCTCTCTTACAACATGTTCAACTTTTACTTCATGTAAGTTAGCCGTGAGATACAAGCTCATCTGCTGTTGTGCTATATTCTGACTTCGCAATGAAGTATACGGTAAGTATATGGTGAAAGAAGAAAAATTATCAAAAAAAACAGATTTGGCCAAAACTTGGCATAGTTATCTGACATGCTGATCATGAAAACAGTAATGAAATTGCATGATAAGGCTTTTTTGTATGATTAGCGCAAATTTCCGGAATGGGCTCCCGTTCTGAAAGCTAAAAAAGCGTAGACTCAACAAATGATTTGATCAGAATCAGAGTTGAGCGTGGGGTTAGGCGAGGCCGACCTGAGGGTCATATATTGGGCTAAGACTGGGGAGAGAGCTGTGTGATCAAGGATAGAATTTGTGTGAAAAGTTGAGAAAATATTACGATCGAGTAAGTTAAAGAAAAAAACGCTAGATCGGTAAATACCACAGCTCTACCAGAGCAGAAATGACTGTCGTAAATAGCATAGTGATCAACTCCACGAACAAGGTCTCAGCCAAATTTCAAGTTTTCACCTCTTACCTAACAATACCGTAAAGCCACTAAAGAAGCCTGCTGTGTGTGGGTATGACGACGGCAATCAGCTCGCCAAATTACCTCTACGTGCTCTACAAACCTTTTAGAATATTTCCTAACGTCTAGAAATCATGATTTTTAAACATGAATGACCTGGTCAAAATGCGGAAGAAGTCAGCTTTCTCGTACTCATAACAAAGCAACGCTTTCTATAAGCCTATGGTAGAAATTAGACTTCATATCGCTGCCAAATAGTGAATTAAGAAGTGCTACCAAAATTTCAATCACTGCGTTTTACACCTTGAATGCCTCCACTCCACCGATCATCACAAAGCTAAATCAAATCAATTTAAGCTCAAACAACTACTATAGAGTGCTCGGGGCTTTTGCGAGCGAATCACCTAAAGCTAGGGAAAAAAGCTCTTTCGGTGATAAAGTTAAAAAGCTCTTTCGGCAATAAAGTTAACTGAGTCAGGCACAACCCTCAGAAGGTCAGGCTGCCTGAGCTTTTGTAGCCTTGTGCCTGACCCTCTTAACATGCCTCTGAGATCCATAGATTGTTCCATTTTGGTAAGCTTCTTTCCAAGCTCCAGCTTCTTTTTGCTGCAGTGGAAATTCGAGCAAAACGCCCACCCATTCGGAGATTATGGCCTTCTCAATAGGCCCTTTCAGATCGAAAACAGCGGCCAAATCACGTGTGATTGTAGCACTCACAGGAAACCGGGCGTACAGACGTCAAGAATTTAGAAACTTTTGAAAAAGTGACTCCGCTTTGTCTTGGGCTTAGTTCGTTCATTACGTCAGTTGCGAACGTGATGTAGTTACAGTTGCAAGCCATCAGCTTCCAATTTATATCATCATTCATAGCAATCATGACACAATCATAGTGTTCAGAAACCTTCTGCTCAAGTCATCTGGATAGCTTTTGATCTGCAGATCAGAGTTCTTTTATAATTGAGAAGGTAAAAGCAGATAGGAAGTAGATGGACGGAACTTTCGGGAAGATCATGCATAGTTCCCCCTCTTTCTTAAAGTAGTTTAGACTCGTTGCAACAAACTGCAAGTAGTTGAGATTCAACGTTGCAAAAATCTGCCTGTAGGAACTCAAAGCCAGGGTATTGCACAGGCTTTTTAGACGTTTAGTGCGTCATCCATTAGTGTCAGAGCTTTGCCCTCAAAATCGTCTTCTACATTTCTGCCTGCTACGCAAGCTCATACGTCAGCAGGTGATGTTGATAAGCCCTTGGCTGAAACTCGCCTACACTGGCATATCACTTGCACTTCTTGGATTATCAGTTTCTGCGATCATGATAATGTGAACGAGTCCTTCAGCTGTACTACTCTACGCTTTCCATAACTCGCCAAAAATTGGATATCAAGGAAAACAGATTTCATTCGCAGTAATACTGAAATGTTCTCCAAACTCAGAAGACTTCCTTTAGTCGTGAAGAGGGAACTCGTTAAGAAAAAAGTGGTAGTTTGAATTCTGCCAAATGCAACAAAAACAGCTCAGATACAGTCTGCTTTACTATGGTACATTCCACTGCGCTATCTCGCTACGGTTGGAGAAGGGACTTTTTGGATAGTAGGATTTTATGGATAGTTACTGTTAACAGATAAACTTGTTCTCCTTACGTCCAAATATCCAACTCTAAATGGAAGGCTCGCGAGCTACAGCTAGCTTCAAGATACAGACGATATCTTGTGCCTTCAAGGGCCGCATGCACTAACATCCCCGCGAAGAGGGGATCGCAGCTTAGAAGAAAGCTTTATATTCCGAAACTCCAAATACCAGGATATCAAGTTGTGCACCTATCCGTAAGTATTCCTACTATCACTATGAACATGTTGAACAGGAGCGAGAAGCTGTACGAACCGCATTTTCTAGCTTTAGTATGATCCCTGATGATCCCCGGCGCTTTTCTTTGAAGTCATTTTTCTTTTTCCGAAGTTAACGAAAAACCTCCAAAGTTGTGCAGATTATCTAAACCGACACTGCTAAGCATGTTGCTGATAAGAACAAATGACGTTTTGAAGTCATGAAATTTTCGATGATCAACAGGTCGAAATTTGAGGTTTCAAAAACTCATTTGTTCTCATCAGCAACATGCTTAGAACTGTTGTGTTAGATGTTCAGTACAACTTTGGAAGGTTTTCGTTAACTTCGGAGAAAGAAAAATGACTTCAAATAAAAGCGCCGGGGATTATCAGGGATCATACAAAAGCTGGAAAATGCGGTTCGTACAGCTTCTCGCTCCTGTTCAACATGTTCATAGTGAAGGGTAGCAGGAATGCTTACGGATAGGTACACAATGTGAAATCCAGGTATCTGGAGTTTCGAAATATAAAACTTTCTTTTATTTTATTTATTTTATTTTATTTTAGTTTACACTCGCGGTGCACTAAAGAACAAAAAATAAAACTCTAACACGTCGAACAATAACATGATATCAACTTGTCATTGGCTTCAGGGAGATAAACGAATGACGTATAAGCAATGCACTAACCTAAGGCCCATTAAGATATAGCAAAATCTGTTTCAAATGCCTGATGAGTGTAAATATGGCTTGAGAAACAAAGAATGACTGGAGAGTATTGCATCCTCCAAAGTTATTCTATTCTAAAAACCCTTTTTTGAGTGCCAGCGAGCTTACGGGCGGAAACTAGGTGACAGACCCCAGATGAGTATACCTTTTGGAGGATAGCAAGACTCTAAGTGGAAGTGCCAGTAAAGGTTTGCCAGTAAGGCATAGAAGTAAGGCATAAGCGGAAGTAACCTGAGCACTTAGATGTGACTGTAATAGGAAGACAAGAGGTAGAATCATGTACCCCATACAAGGCAAGCTAATATGATCGTTAGTGAAGCAGGATGTCTAAATTAGTGGCAGTGATAAAATAAATAGCTGAGAAAAATGACTCAATGTTTTTTGACTATCAAAAAATGAAGCGAAATGCATTTGCTACGTAGACTGGGTTGAAGATTTGACGAGGTATGGAGGGCTTGCGAGGTGTGGGCGACTTGACGAGTTGACGAGGTATATACGACTTGGCCAAGAATGAGCGACTTGAGGAGGTACCACAACTTGGGGAGGAGTAAGAGACCTGACGAGATATGGCGACTCGACAAAGTGGGCGACGTGACCAGGTATGGAAGACTTGACTAGGTAACGGCTTGGCGAGGCATGGAGAGTGGTTGGAACGATGGTGGATGGCGCACGTACTCATCTTATATATAAAGCTGAATGTCTGTTCGTCTGTCTGTAAAGGATATTCGTTGACAACAGCCCCGTTTCGTGCATTTACACCATCGCGGGCGTGCCTTTTGAAGCCTTTCCAGCTTTACAGTAGGCTGCAGCTCGCGGGGTATTCGCAGCTCACAGCATGCCCGTCCTTTAACCTCTTTTTGTTGTTTGAGTATTTTACATCGTTTTATCTCCTTAATTTTCATTTTAGGCCGATACACATTCTTATACACGCAAAACCATTGCTCTGGAAAGAATCGGAAGGAATAATAAGTTTTCTTCAAAGATGCAGTGGCGGATAACGTGGCTATGATTGGGAGTGCAATGTTCACTTCAGTGTTTCATAATGATTTGTCTTCTTTTCTTAAGAGAGACTGCTGAAGTGGCTGTTTCAGCACTTCTACATCAAAGGGACATGTAGGTGTGCTAAAATAAACATTTCGGTGGT